TGTATCCCATCCTCCATGGCAACGGCACCTCGAACCGGTCGCGCTGGCACCGTGTCCTTGTTTCGACCACTGCTAACGCCTGGTTGTTTACTACGGAAGAGACCACTTTCTGATCGTTCAATTCATCAAACTCATTATCATACTTCCTTTGGAGAGCTTGTTCGATCGTATCATTGCTAGTGGTGGCGGTGGTGAAGTTAACTGATAACGGTTTACGATTTGTCGCGTGAGGCGATCCAAATAACGTACACCCCAACATGGTGCGAGCATTATATGGTTCTTTCCTGCCGTCCAGTCTCTGGTCAAGGATCCAGTGTGCTTCTGGCACATCACATCCTGTTAGCAAATCGACTTCGGAAGAGTAGGCTTCTTCGAAACGCAAGTTTCTAAGGTGCGGCCGGCGCGTTGCTAATTCCCCGATCGATTCCACTGCTCACATCGGCAAGTCGGCGATGGTGAAAGCTTCCGTCACCTCTACTCGTTCACGATTATCTAGCAAAACCAACGTCAAGTTTGCTTGATCGGCGAACGTCACCTTAGTGCCGTTAACCGTGCTGATCGTCAGGGAAGATGGTCAGGTGGTGATGTTGTGGTTTACGACGAAGCGTTTGATGATCAACGAGGTATCGGATCCATTGTCAATGAACGCCATCGCCTTCACCACCTCCCTGGGTGTTATTATGCTCACTGGTGTTACGCCGAGAAGTACCTGCTTATCTGTCAATTGAGACAGTAGACATACGCTGGGTTTTGGGGTGCAGGTAACTGAGTTTTCCTTATAGAATGCAAGAGAGTATGGTGGCTTCCTTGACACCCCGTTTCCCCGCATCTGCTACGGTTCCTACAAGCAGCCACACGATTTGAGCCGTTCAAACGGATATAGCACGCACCAAGCCTCTTGGCGGCTTCCCAACGGTCCGGAACTCCTAGTTGCACAAATTTCTTGCACACGGATAACTCGTAATTCAAATGACACATAGAGCACCTGGGTGTTCCACGTTCCTCTACTGTCGCATAGTTGTGCGCGTTCCTAGAGCTTCTCTGGATCTCGTAGTTTCCTTTTTGGTGTGATATCTCTCTTCTCGCCTACTCATGCTGGCGAGTTGTCCGAAGCGACTGCCAGCGAGCTTAACACGGTTTCAGATGAATTCGGTTAGCTGGGTGAAGTTTGGTTCCCTCCCTGAACGGCTAATAACCACGGCCTCCTCCACCCACCGTTCCTGTATATAAGTCGGCAGGCATCGTACTGTTGCCTCTATGGTGTGTAGTGCGTTCAAATCAGCTTAGTACTCCACTTGATTCAGGGCAGTGAAACAGTTTGGTATTTTAATTACCATTCTAACCAACAATTCGGGCTCGTTTCTCGTTTTACGGGCCTCGTCTAGCACCCCGTCTATGAGCGTCCGTGCCACGTGAAATTATTGGCCAAACAGTTCCTTCAGAATGTCCCTTGCTCGACTATTCCCAAATTCATTTGACAACATTACACATTCTTCGATATCGTTTCGGGCCTGCCCGCGGCAGTAATACTTTAGATATAACAATTTCTACCTTGAATCGGCGACCCGACACTCGACGAAATTATCAAATTCTCTAATGAATCTCCAATAGTTGCTGGGGTTCGCGTTGAATGACGTTAGCTCCACCTTGAGCAGGTCTATCGACACGTGGCGGTACATTACTTCAATCGGTGATTTAGCCACTTCCGGCATCAGTCTAATGGGCAGAGTTTGTTTTTCCGTCGAAGCGTGCTTAGTCGAGCAAAGTTGTCTAGCTTCTGATGCCCCGAGCTTCATCGACCTAATCTGCTGCTCTCACTCTACTATCTTACGGCGATATATATCAGACATCTTAACATCAGCATCACAATCTAGGGCACATAACCTCCTAGCGATAATAGGACCAACCGAATTAAAAATGTGAGAATCAGACCCCCTCCCTAATTCCCCAGTGACTTTCTGGGTTACTTCCTGTCCTTTCTCCTCGATCCTTCCTTGTTCGAACGATATTCTTTTTTCCCAAGTCGTGAGAATTTTGAGTGCTATGCCTCCCGAATAGATCGACGAGTAACGAGTAGCCGAAATCGGAGCTCAAAACGTCAACGAAACGAACGATCCAGCAAATTTCTAAGGTACTGCATTAATAGACGATCAAATGAGCAAATAAATATGTACAAACCTCAAAGTGATCTCGAAACAACTTGAAAACAAGACCCAAGTGTTACTATGAGTGTGATTCAACAAATCTGAACGGAAGAAAATAATCCTGGGTAATAATAGCACGGTCACCGTCACGCTGCACACGAAAGAGCCAAATATGGGCGCTCGGGTCGCAATTAAATAATTAGGGTACGAATGAAGCAGATAAACAAACAAAGTCAAATTGTAGGATCGATGTGTAAATATACAAGGGGAGTGGAATGTGATAAGTTTATGTGTGTGAGGCGGATGACGTTAAGTGAATGAAACGTAAATTTCACGAAATGTGGAATCGAGATAGATTGAAAGGGCTTTACAGGAAGGATTTTCACAGATTGATCAATACAACAGGTACAATTATAAACTTATAGACTAACGAAAGACCAACTGACTGAAGTTTCCGCAACGTGAGAGAGTGCCCCCGCGTGCGGTGCTCTGTCCGTAAAGGGAAGTACTGTTGCAGCTCCGGGCCCTTATTACCTTTCAGGATCTTCCTCAGGCAGATGAGATCTCCTCTGAGGAGTCGATACGCGATTGGAAACAGACCAGTAGCCTGTAAACGACCTTCATAGCTGGTCCCGCGTAGTCCATCGACGAGTCTAGTGGCGGCACGTTGTACAAGCTCCAACTTAGCCAGTTCACCGGCCGTGCAGGGGTATGTCGCCGCACCACCATACGCAAGTCTTGGTCTGGCATGGGAAGCGTACAGCAACCTGAAAGCATCCATCGTGAGCTGCTTAGAGACCGCCGAATAGGCCCCAAGAAGCTCCATGCACCAGCACAGACCCGATCGGTGTTTTCTCGGGTCTCTATTTATGACGTAACTATAACACTCAGGTCTCGTGCGCACGACATTGTGCGCAAAGTGGTCCCCTGGAAGTTTTAGACTACCTCTGCGTCAGCACGCCCCAAGTGCAGGTGAGCACACTTTGCTGTATTCCATTTCGCCTGTTCGCCGAGCTTGGCAAGTTGTTTGCAAACGTTTCATCACCAGCCGAGGTGACATTATCAGTGATTGTGAAGTGGTGATGATGTCACCTCGGCTGGTGAGGAAACGTTTGTAGACAAATTGCCAAGCTCGGCGAACAGGCGAAATGGAATTCAGTTCACCCGAGCTACGAGAACCAATTTTCAATATCTTGTCAACACTTTGTCCAGGTATCCGCCCACTGAGCCAGGTCGTTCAAATCCGCTTGAAGAGAACTTTGATCATTTGAATCCTTGATTGAACGCCAGATTTTGATGTCATCCGCTTACATAAGTGATGAGCTGCGCAGTTGATTGGACAGGTCGTTCACGTATACCACAAAAGCAAGAACCAAGACTTGGAGGACCCAACTGGGAGCGGAATACCACACAGAGAGCGATTTGCCTACACGGACGCAGAATTTCCGGTCGATGAGGAAGTCTCGCAGCCTATGAGTTTCATAGGCAGGATAGAAGTCTCCAGCTGCATGGTGGTGGAATAAACATATTAGTTAGGAAGGACATTCAACAAGTTCGGTTGGATATTTAAGTCTGCACGAGCTACATACAGATGTGCTCAATCACCATCACCTCCGAGGGACACAAAACCAAAATAGCATGTGTATAC